TTTCTTTCTTTCTTTCTTTCTTTCTTTCTTTCTTTCTTTCTTTCTTTTCTTTCTTTCTTTCTTTCTTTCTCTTTCTCTCTCTCTCTTCTTTCTTTCTTTCTTTCTTTCTTTCTTTCTTTCTTTCTTTCTTTCTTTCTTTTTCTTTCTTTCTTTCTTTTAATGTTTATTTATTTTTGAGAGAGAGAGACAGAGAATCCCAAGCAGGCTTTGTGCTATCAGCACAGAGCTACACAGGGCTTGAACTCAAGAACCATGAGATCATGACCAAGTATCAAGAGCTGGACATTCAACTGACTGAACCATCCAGGCACCTCATTTCTTTAGTCTTCATATCCAAATTTCCCGAACTTTCATCTATGCTCGCTGTCCCTTTTTCCTAAATTCCCATTTACTATTTAATCCATTCCAATCTGAATTCCATGCTTACAAATCTTTTAAAAAGCTCTCCCTGAGGGCAACAATGATCAATAAGTCAAAAATTAGTTTACATTTTCCAATCTGTATCTTACTTGACCTCATAGCAATTTTGTTTAACCTCCTTTAACACTGTTGATCACCATTTGAAATGGTCTGTATTTCTTGCATACTCTTGCTTCTGTGACTCCACTTTCTTCTGGTTCTCCTCTCTCCCTCCCCATCCCTTCTCCTTCCATCTCCTTTCTTTGCTGATTCAACCTCCTCTACCAGCCCATTAAATTTTGGCATTCCTCCAAGTTTAGGCTTAGGCCCTCATTTCTTCTAGTTCTCTAATTTCAGCCTAGATAATGTCACCCTTCCTCACAGTTTCAATAATAGTACCTATGCTGATCCCTATCATCTCCATTTTGAAGTCCATCCCCCTGTATCCAACAACATGCTCAACATTTCTATTTGTATATTTCAAAGGAAACTTAAAGACCACTTCTAAACTGTAACTCATGGTTTCCCCCCACAAACCTGGTCTTTCTCGGATGTTCTTCTGCCAATTCCATCTTAGTAAATTTACTCATCATGCAATCCGGGCTCCAATTACATTTCTTCGAAGAAACTTCCCTGACCTCCCACTGAGAACAGTGTGTTTTTATTTAATGATTTTACTTCATTTTACTGTAAGCCCCATTAAGGCAAGGACTATTCCCACTTTGCTCATTGTTTCATTTCTTTTAGCACAGTGTCTGGCAATAGTAGATTCTCAACAACTATTCACTCAGCGGAATTATGAAAGAACACCACACTGGAAATTTTCACTTTGGTATTTTGTGTGCCACATAAAGTTCTAATCTACCAGTTCCCAAATTTTGCCAGTTCCAAATATATGAGTTAAAAACTTAGGATATAGATGGTATAACCATCAAATACATTTATATGCAAAATTTCAAATTTTCAAAAGTAAAATGTCTACAATACTTGAAAAGTCTTCTCTAGCACATCAAAATTCCATAATTAAAGAACGGAAAAACTAAACAAAGTATCAAAACAAAGCAAAAAACCAACAACAGAAAGTTTTAACACAATAATCAAAATGTCAAACATATTTTAAGAAAAAGCATTCAGAATGCTGAGTGTAACTTCAGATTGAGAATTCATTCCATAATTAGAATTTGAGCAATAACCTTTTATTACCTGGATTATTACATTAGTCAATGTACCTTTTTTGCACTTTTTCCTTGGCATCATTTCTCTTGGGAGTCTTCTCCAATCTGCATGTACAAAAGAAAAAAAAAAATACAAAAGTTGCAATTTCCTCTGGGAATTAGTGGCACTGGATATGACTATTTAAAGGGACATGACAGTTGGTTAATCAATGAAAATAAAATTTCTTAATATCTGACTGTACAGATTTAGCCTAAGTGATATATTTTCTCCTATGAAAAAAAGAGAGTTCATTAAAAAGAACTTTGGTGGCTCCCAGCTGGCTCATTTGGAAGAGCATGAGACTCTTTATTTCAGGGTCATGAGTTCAAGCTCCACTTTGAGTATAAAGAGTATTAAAAAAAAATAAACATTAAAAAAAAAACTTTGAAATAGTGCTATATATTGACTTTCTGTCAATAGTTATATAGTATTTATCTAATCAATTTTAAATATGGAAATTTTCATAACAAGAAAAATAATGTAGAAAAATTTTGTTAATCATGACATACTGTTGAATAAGAAAAAGTTTCTCAGATAGTAAGTACAGGGGCACCTGTGTGGTTTGGTTGGTTAGGCCTTTGACTCTTCATTTTGGCTCAGGTCATGATCTCCATGATCTCATGATCTCATGAGATTGAGCCCCACATCGGACTCTGTGTTGACAGCATGGAGACTGCCAGGGATTCTCTCCATCCCTCTCCCATCCCCAGTCTCAAAATTAATAAATAAATACTTAAAATAAAAGACATTACATATAGAATCCCAGTAAAAAATAAACCTAACATATAAATATTTTCATATATTTAATTTTTGTGCAGAGAAAGCTCTAGGTTGGGAACAAAATATTATAGTAATTCTTTATGGGTGTTAGGATTACAGCTGCTTTTCTTATTTATTATTTATGTATTATTTGACCATGCTGTATTTTGTAAGTTTTCTATAGTTGATACGTGTTTCTTACGTAATAAGGAATTTTTTTTCAAAAGTTAAAATATATGACCACAATCCCAACACATGCAAAATTAAGTAATTCTAATAATTAACCCAAAACTTTATAATTAAAAATAAAAAAAGCCGTGGAAAAGTAAATTCACTCTAATAAATAATTTTGACTGTAGGAGGTAAAGAATTTCTCTAATTTATCACTTTCTTTTAATTTTTTTAAATGTTTATTTTTGAGAGAGAGAGAGAGAGAGAGAGAGAGAGTGGTGTGTACATGTGTGCGTGTGAGTGAGAACAGGGCAGGGGCAGAGAGAAACAGAGACAGAGGATATGAAGTCGGGGCTCTGCACTGACAACAGAGACCCTGATGCAGGGCTCAAACTCATGAACCACAAGATCATGACCTGAGCTGAAGTCAGGTGCTTAACAAGTAGCTGCCCCACTTTCTTTTAATTTTTAAGCACAGAGTTAATCAGAAAAATGAAGCAACATAAAAATGGATTAAAAAATACTGCCTACTAAAACAAACAAAAAAACAACAACCTCAGGGTATTTTGGAGAAAGCATTTATATCTCAAGCCATTTTACCTGAATTAATAAATTTTGCTTTGAATATATTTCTGCTTTTATCAATGACTCATAGGTGATCATGAAAAAGTAGGTAAAGAGAATCCTTTAAGGAGATGAATATGATGTGGAAGATGGGAGAGATCTGATATAGGAGACAGGAGAGTGTTCAAGGGGAATCCAACCTTAACAATGATGCACACTGAAAAGACCAGTATTACTCGTGAAAGCAACAATTCTGTAAATGCCATTTATATTCTTACTAAAGGCAGTTACCACAACAACAAGGACAGAGATGTCAAAGGGAAGTGAGTTAAAATGAGAAGGCCCAGGTTCTAGAAGTACTGTCCCAGTCACCCTGATAAGTCACTTCATTTTTATGGCAATTACTTTTTTGTCTGTAAAATGAATGAGCTGGATGAAATCTCTCCAGCCTCTTCTACTTTGCCTGTGTCCAAGGAAAATCTGTGAATGTTGAAAAAATCTCTCTTAGATATAGTTCTGTTGAAAAAGCTTCTGAGCAAATAAAAATAGTCTATATCTGCTTGAAAGGAAGGTCCATGAGCTTGGCTTCAATACTGTCTGCCTGGATTTGTTTTCTCCTCTCAAGCTGAAATCACTCACAAACATGGAAGTATAATTGGTACTGTAGATTAAAATGGTGATTGTGGAAAATGAAGTGGAAAGCCCAAATGCATTTGGCAAGTCCTATTTTATAAAAAAATATTTTAAGAACTTCAAAAACATTTCAACTCTTCCTTGTTATGGTATAAGAATCTTTTCATCCTAGTTTTCAAAAGATATATATTAGTAATTAATTATAGGGAAAGAGCCAAACTATTTTCCTACAGTGAAAATTCCTAGGGTAAAAGTAAAAAATTTGCCCTAAAAAAAATAGGGGGTAGGGAGATAAACTTTAAAAATTATTTTAACATTTTCAGTTTTATAATTACCTGGTATCCACTCCTCTTTGTACACCTTCATATATCTTTTACTGTATCTTTCAATATCTGGAAAAAAAAGAAAAAGTGTTCATTAGAAAACTGCAGAATAAGCCTGCATTTAAGCCATTCCTTTAAAATAACTGAAAACACCAGGTAACATCTTTTATTTCACACACAGTTTCCTATATTTGTGCCTAAAGTGTTTCTGAACACCTACTGGAAAGTTCAATTAGTATCACACGTTTAAGGAAGTGGCAAGAAGCAGCTGGGTATGAATGGCTGGGAGTGAGCAGAAACCCTAAGCATGTTTTTTAGAATCAGACAACCTGACTCATTTCTGAAAATATTCACAAAAGCCCAAAGCCAGGTCAGAGGGCCACTTAAATACCAGGAAAGAAAGTCACTTGGCATCTTCTATTTTCTTCTTGTGACACTGGCCTCCAGCTCCCAGTCTTTAAATCTTGTTTAACTGGGATGTATTAACTACCTAAGTGGAGGTGGAGAGCTGTTTGCTCACCCCCAGTGCTTGATACATACATTAATACACAGTTAGGCTTCTCAGTGAGCTACTTTTCACAATCCATTGAGGAGCAGAACGGGGAAAAGGGTAGGAGTAGGTAGGGTTGGACTTGAGCAAGCCAAAAGCCTTCCATGTCAATTGCTGACAACTCTGCAGGGACCTCCTGGGCTTGCCCAAAATGGGAGAGCCATAGCTGTGGCTCTTGTTTCTGCTTTGCCCACTATGCTGCAAGAAACTCCCTCAATGAGGGCCCAAACCCTTTCCTAGCAGTGTAAGTTGGCATCATGCCATAGCTTGAAACCATAGTTGGCAGCGTAAGTGACAGCATCATGCCATAGCTTGAAACCATAGTTCATCATAAAATGTGGTTTTAGGAGTACAGCCATGAAAAAAGGGAAGTTAAACCAAAAGATGAAAACATAAAAAGCAAGGCCCAAGTATGTACTTTTTCTTCCATGTTAAGAAAATGATCCCATCGCTTCTCGGCCTTTTGGCTAAGATCAAGTGAAAATGATCCCAAATAACAGCAAAGCCATGGTGTTAAACAAAGATAACCAAAATAAATCATAGATCAGAGAGACCAAGAGACCAGGCTTTTGTAGGTATTTAACTGTTTTGACTTCAATCCTGCTCTTAAGCTTTTCACCTGTAAAGAGAAATCAGCACAAATTCCCAGAATTCGCATTTAAAAATTTTCTCCACAACAGATTGCATATTTTAGATAAATTTAACCTTTAGTAGTAAACTTCTAGAAGAATGAGCGATATTGAAAAACAACTACTGAAACCCAGTTAAAAAGAAGCAAAGGATTTGAACTGGCATTTCTGCAAAGATATGCGTGGAAAAAAAGCACATGATAAGATGTTCAACATCATTGGTTGTTTGGGAAATTCAAATCAAAACCGCAATGAGACAGCACTTAACACCCAGTAGGATGGCTACAACCAAAAAGGCAATGACAAGTGCTAGCAATGTGGAGAAACTGCAATCCTCATATAACACTGGTGACGTAAAATACTGCAAGAACTTTGGAAAATAGTTTGACAGTTCCTCAAAATGTTAAATACAGTTATCTTATGATCCTAGATATACACCCAGTAGAAATAACATGTGTCCACCCAGTAGAAAATACATGAATGTTCAAAGCAGCATTACTCATGATAGCTCCAAAGTGGAACTGACCCACATGTCAATCAACTGGTGACTGGGTAAACAAAATGTGGTATATACAACCAATGGAGTATTATTCAGCCATAAAAAGGAATGAAGACTGCAGTACCACAGGTGAACCATGAAAACATTATGCTAAGTTAAAGAAGGCAGTCACAAAAGTCACATTTTGTGATTCCATTTCTTTCAAAGATGTTATCTTTAAGTAATCTCTACACCCAATGTGGGGCTTGAATTTATAGTCCCAAGATCAAGAGTTGCATGCTCCACCAACCGAGCCAACCAGGGGTCCTTATGATTCCATTTATATGAAGTATCCAGAACAGACAAAACACTACAAAGCAGATTAGTAGCTGCCATGGGCTAGAGACAGGAGAGAATAGAAGCCTATACTAGTGGGTATAGGGTTTCTTTTCAGAAAGATGAAAAGGTTCTAAAAATTAGACAGTACTATTGACTGTACAATTCTGTAACTACACTACAAGCCATTGAATTGTATACTTTAAAAAGTGTATTTTTATATATGTGAATTTTATCTCAATAAAATTGTTATTTAAAAAGAAAGAAAAGTATTACAAGTTTTAAAAAGAACTTAAGTACAGTAAATTCAAATTTATGTTCCATTATTTCCCTGGTTTTGAAGGCCATTTTTTTTTTCCTAGAGTGTGTGAGCAGGGGAGAAGGGCAGAGGGAGAATCTTTTAACTTTATTTATTTTGAGAGAGAGAGAGTGAGCAGGGGAGTGGCAGAGAGAGAGAGAGACAGACAGACAGAGAGAGAGACAGAGACAGAGAGACAGAGAGGAAGAGAGATAGAAAATCCCAAGCAGGCTCCATGCTGTCAGCACAGAGCCCGATGTGGGGCTCGATCTCCCAAATGGTGAGATCATGACCGGAGCTGAAATCAAGATTTGGTTGCCATCAACTGATGAATGGATAAAGAAATTGTGGTTTATATACACAATGGAGTACTATGTGGCAATGAGAAAGAATGAAATATGGCCCTTTGTAGCAACGTGGATGGAACTGGAGAGTGTGATGCTAAGTGAAATAAGCCATACAGAGAAAGACAGATACCATATGTGTTCACTCTTATGTGGATCCTGAGAAACTTAACAGGAACCCATGGGGGAGGGGAAGGAAAAAAAAAAAAAAGAGGTTAGAGTGGGAGAGAGCCAAAGCATAAGAGACTCTTAAAAACTGAGAACAAACTGAGGGTTGATGGGGGGTGGGAGGGAGAAGAGGGTAGGAGATGGGTATTGAAGAGGGCATCTTTTGGGATGAGCACTGGGTGTTGTATGGAAACCAATTTGACAGTAAATTTCATATATTAAAAAAAATAAAAAATACATAAAAAATAAATAAAAATTGAATTACTTAAAAAAAAAAAAAAAAGAGTTGGTTGCCTAACTGACTGAGCCACCTGTGTGCCCCAAGAGAGAGAATCTTAAGTAGACTTAAGCCTGATGCAGGGCTCAATCCTATGACCCTGGGATCATGACCTCAGCTAAAATCAAGTATCAGATGTTCAACCAACTGAATCACTCAGGTGCCCCAGCAAGTCTTTTGAATGTAGTTAACTGTGCATCAACTGTGCATTTTAGGAACACATGTACATTTTTCATGTACAACCTTTGAATGTATCCATTTCATATATCCTGATTCCAGATTTTAAATACATTTTATTAATAAGTTCTAACTTCTTACTCCTGATTCTTCTCACATTTGCACCATCCAAATGATTCTAGATTAGAAATACATTCCTAATAGGTTCCAGAATTGTAAGAAGTGCAATTCTTCTTACACTTTCATCATCAAAATACAGTACTTTAAAAAGCTTTGATAGCTCACATTTGTAATGAAGTGAGAATGGCCCAGCCATCTTCTTTGGTCTATAATTGTAAAACATTTTCATTATTAAATTTATAATTACTAATTAACATGATCAATCCAACAAACTGTTTCATTCCTACACAACCTATTGCCTTTTGATCATCTTCGTCTTTGCCTTCAGCATGTGTCCAGTCACAAACTACACCAAATAACTTTTGGTACATCAATATAAAAAAAGAAAAATATCATCACATGTCATTTTAACGGACTAGATGTTCCAGGTTCTTATCACAAAATAGTGTGTAACGAGGTGCTCTTCAAGAAGAATACCATATTTCCTTTTTATTCTTAGAGATGTATTGTTTACCCACTGACTCTTGAGTTTGAGAAGATTCATCTAGAATGTTGTCAGATGAAGACTCAGTTTGAAATTTTACTTATACAACGATTTCATGATCATCGTTGGCGCCCAAGGAATTACTGCCTCTACATTCTTCTTTTTTGTCTAGTGATTGTGTCACATCTTCCCCTGTCAATTTTTTTCTCTGCACCATTATGGGCAGAAAATGAACAATTCTGAATTCTCAATTGCCTTTTATGAAAGCTAAAACAAAAAACAACCACAAAGACAAGAGTCTCTCTAGACTTCTTTTCTTTTTATATCTTCTTAAACATTACTATAATACTTTGGGCAACACAATAGAAACACGGAAGGATGTGACCGTGCTGACTTATTTCAATGCTGTACCATCCTTCCGTGCAACTTCACCATTTTTCCATTTTGTTTCTGATGTTTTAGTCTCTTTTTCCCAGGGTAGTGGGGGATAACTGATGAGTAATGATGAAAGAGTATCTGTGCTGATAAAACAGCAAAATGTTTACAGATGAAGGAAAAGTGAAATCACTAAGATTCCAAAACGTATTTAAATTTATAAAAGGATCCAATGAGCTGATATGGTAATGCTCAGATAAAATGAGTTTTGTTTTTTTTTTAAATAAATTCTCTTTGTTTTTTAGAAGATCTCTATTAAAAAATAAAAGTTATGGGGGCGCCTGGGTGGATCAGTTGGTTAAGTGACTGACTCTTGATTTCAGCTTAGGTCATGATCTCACGGTTTGTGGGTTCGAGCCCTGAGCTGGGTTCCACACAGAGCATGGAGCCTGCTTGGTATCCTCTCTCTTTTCTTTCTCTCTCTTTCTCACTCTCTCTCTCTCTCCCTGCCCCACCCCTGCTCATGCTCTCTTGCTCACTCTCTTTCAAAATAAACAAATAAACTTAAAAAAAATTAAAGTTATGAATATCACTGCTCAAAAATAAACTCCAGCATGCCTGAGTGGCTCAGTTGGTCAAGCATCTGACTCTGGGTTTTGGTTCAGGTCATGATCTTGCAGTTCATGGGTTCAAGCCCCACATCGGGCTCTGCACTGGCAGCATAGAGCCTGCTTGGGATTCTCTTTCTGCCTCTCCCTTGCTCACTTTCTTTCTCTCTCTCAAAATAAATAAACAAACATTACAAGAAAATAAAAAATCAAAATAGGGGTCTCATGGACCCTGATGGCACATTGACAGTTAACAAAAACCAAACTCCATTTATTCAACAGCAGATCTTGTGGCCATATTGCAGGTTAATGTTATGATTTCCATTAAGCTTTTGAAGTTCTAAAAATGGCTTACAGAATGGCCACTGTCACTCCTGTTTCTACCTCAGAGGACCCCAGTAATGCAGGAACCCGAGCTGGGAACAATTGGATCAGATGCTCTCCATATATCCTTGCAGCTACAATTCATTAAAATAACAATATTGGTGTTTTTCTTTTATTACAAAAATAATAACTTTCCTTATAAAGAAAATACCAATCATTTCTATAATTCTACCTGAAAGCATTATAAACAAATTGTGAAAACATCACGATAAGAAATATTTTTATTCTATGTCCTCAGTTCTTTGTGATTTCAATGCCCTGAGCCACTAGCCACAAGGTTATCAGGAAACCCGGAGATCTCCTACCCTCATTTAGTTCTTTACATGAATTCCTAAGTCTCTCTTTCTTAAAGCATATAGGTGATGAGTGATGGGAGAAGGCTGATAAAGGTACAGTGATAGAACACCATCCAGAATATAGCTTCCTTTGACAGATGCATACTGCTGTTCAGTCTGGCCAATTCTCTCTCATTTATGGTGTGCAGAGTACATAAACATTATGTGTGTGTATATATGTATATATGTGTATTTATTATATTAACCTATATTCATGCATATGTATGTATATATTTTAAAAACATTTTCAACTGTAATTTTTTAAAACACATTACATCAGAAAAGAAAGGTAAACATGAAGATTTTGAAGGAGAATATACTTGTATCAATTTGGAAAATCCTAGAGAAGTGTTTTTTTCCAGAAAGAAACAGAAACGATTCCTTGTATTCTTAAATAACTCCTGTAGTCATCAAAGATAAAGAGCCTGTTAATCCAGGTACAAGCCAACCACTCCCAGAAACCAGCAATGAAATTGTGTTCCCTGTTTAAAAGACTCCCAGATATGTTTTAATGATATGATATACTTGCAAATTAGACCTATGCTTTAATAATGACCACATTTAGTTAAGTCTGTTCCATACTCTAGAGAAAACAATAATTTTTAAAAGATTAAAGTATACCCTAGACTATAATTTTTTCTAATAAGAATGTTTATTAGTTCATTTAATCTTTTTAAAAATCTTTACAATTAGAGCTTTAATTTCATTTTTGAACTCAGATAGATAAAAGCATGTAACACAATCATGAAAGTAAAAAAAATCCGCACTTTTGAGATAAAAATATACCTTTCTAAACCACTATATAAACTTCAAGCAGCTATGTTTGAAAAATAAATGAACTTGTCTAAAATGCTTCTTATAATTATAAGCACATGTAATATTACTATATAAGACTTTCTTTTTGACTCTTAGCCAGTTCTAAGTCTTTTAGAGAGAGAGAAAATGGAATGCATTTTTAATACTAATGGAATGAGATGATACTATATGAATTTCTCATGCTTTAATGATGTTGTTTTGGGAACTCAAGGATGATATTGATCTCTCTAATTTCAACATTCGAGGGCAGAAACTGAAAATCAATACAGATCTAATGTGCTAAATAACTACTCAGGAATGGGTTCTCTTCCTCTAAAACCACTTCCCACTCCCTCTCTGAGACTTTCAAGCCTTCTCCAATGGTAATTTCTCCTCTCTGTCCTTGGCATAACCAAGGAGTACACCCTTTATGTTTTCTTATGTACAAATCATAAGTCAAAAATATATTTATGGCTTCTAAAAGTTTTCACCAAAATATTAACTAATCATATTTAATTTTAAATACATTTTAAATTTAATATTAGATACAAAAAATGTATGTGTAAGGATAACCATTGCATTATATACATATATGAGCAAAAAACTAGAAAACACTTTAAATCTAATAGCAGAGAACTACGTACAATTAATAATGTTATATACAGATCATGGAATACCACATAATGATTAAAAATCTAATTTTCCAAGAATACTGAGGACATGTGAACATGCTAATAACATGCTATTGGGTAAAAAAGGAAGATGCAAAGAATATGAAACCAATTTTATAAAAACCATATACATGCAGAAGAAAAAAATCTAGAATGTATAATAAAATATTAATAGATCTCTAGCCATAAGCATTAGAGGTGATTTTTACTTTTCATTGTTTCTGTTTTTTGTAATTTTCACCAAGCCGATGAAATTTCTATTAAAAGGTAATTTTAAAAATAAAATATCAGAAAGTTTAAAATACATTTTCTGTTGAATCAACAGAACTATGCTCTTTTATGGTAGTTGATAATTTCTGATGTAACTAAATCAATCAGCACCAAATTACTCTCTGTCTTATACACAAACACTGTCTCGTCTGTACACATTCAACCACATAACCAAAGGGTCCAAACCCACCTTGTTTTTCTTCAGGTGTTTCTAAATAATAAGGCATCCTTTTCATAGTTTCTCTCAACTCCTGTTTCAATGCCAGCATGTATTCTTCGCCCTCTCCTGCTTTCAGTGGCACCGGTTTATAATCTGTATCCTGTTTAAAAGACAATGTGTGTGTATGTGTGTGTGCCTTTTTAATAAAATAAGTTTCTTAACATCCTTTTTGTCTATAATCTGGAAAATTTCATTTTTATTGAAAAACTACATTTCCCAGGTACTAAGTTTTACAATCAACTGAAAAGACGTTGAGCTTTTGTAATCTATTTAACTTTTTAGCCTATTTCCTACTTTGCTCTCATTTTAGACAGTAGGAAAGATTCTTAATTTTCCTACTGACCACACCAACAAGTATTTTGTTATATAGTCTGTTGACTATGATTACATGTTTTAGAAGTCAAGGCACCCAAATGAGAGTAACTGCTTTAGTCCCCTAGTAACCTCAATTAGTAGTGGTGGTATTGATGGGAGAAGTAGCATTAAAAAAAAAAAAAAAAAGATTAAAAGTAGCAGTTATCATGTACAAGTGGTTACTCTGATACTCTGACCAGGATGTCCTCATCACTCAACATCCATGATCCCACTTAAAGTATCATCAGTACTTCCCCTTTTACAGTAAATAAACTGAGGTGTGAACAATCTATAAGCTCATAAACCATGTAAATGACAAAGCGGGAGTTTGAATCTACATCTTCAATTTTATAAAATTACACACATATGTATATATATTCATGAAATACATATATTTATTAAAAAGTGGGGTCTCAGGGTATGTAGTAAAAGATTTCTAAAAGAAAAAGACATTTCTGGTATCAGAACTACGTACAGGGTACATTTTCAAAATTTCACTCTGAGTTCATTCATTCATTCTACAGCTATTTATTGGGTGCTTACTATAAGCTAGACATGGCTAGACAATAAAAGATACTATGATGAACGGGTCAAACTTCTTGCCCTTAGGGAACTTACATACTAGAAGAGAAAAATACAAGAAATAAGTAAACAATGAGGAAATACGCAATTTGAGGTAGCGATAAGTGGCATAAAAAAAGTGAGGCTGGGTAGAACAAAGTGTGACTGACAGGATACACGGAGGTTGGAGGTAGTTGGTCTAGACAGGGTAAGCACACAGGACCTCTCAGGAAATCACATCTGAGTACTGCTCCGGATAAAATTAGGAAGTCGTCATGCAAAGACTTGGGAATAGATGGCTCCAGCCACGGAAACTGGCAGAGGAAAAGGCCTGAGAGAACAAGGAGGCCATGATGGCTAAGGAGCAAGAAGGACACTGGTAGCAAGAGTCAGAGAGACACCAGCAAGGCCATATCAAACACAGCCAGTTTGCCAGCAGCAAGGAATTTCAATTTTATTCCAACTATACAACAACACAGTATGTACTAATATTTCCAGTGTTTAGAAGTAACCTCACACATGGAGAAGAGTTGTTTTCAAGGAAATCAATGTATAAAGTGATTGACATAATGCACATACATGAGGTATCTGTCATTGTTTCAGGCTATACTAAATATCAGAAAAGCAAAATGTCAAGAGCAAAAAGTAGAGACTCCCTGTGTAAGACATCTAGATCCCTAGATACATTTGTCCAGCATCCTCTACTTACACAAATCATTCGACAAAAGACTTTTCCCTTCTGAAATAGGGGAGAAACTGCTGGATCGAAGGGTATCTGGTCATTTATAAGTTTTTCATTTTTTATATTGCAGCACATACACATCTGGAAATGTAAGCTCAGGTTTCAAACTAAATGTAAAGTGAAAGCATTAAATTAAACATTATGCCAATTAGGTTTACAGCATACTCATTAGATTTAAAAGCAACACTAAATGTAGCAGGAACAACTAGATTTTGAGAAACAGCAACAAAACTCAAACTGACTTTAACAAAATAGAGAAATAAGCCAAAACCAGAAACAGCCGAGTGGGGAATCAAAGGCAAAACGGTACACTAGGGAGCAAAATCAAATTGTGTAGATACAAGATGAGAAGAAAATCATTAAGTGAAAGTCTAGTAGACTGAGGACCACTAGGGAGCATTGTAAAACCTAACCTTTTAAAAATATTGTTTTGAGGGGCTGGGAGACATGATCTCACAGCTCGTGCAATTGAGCCCCACGTCACACTCTGCTAACAGCGCAGAGTCTGCTTGGGATTCTCTCCCACTCTCCCTCTCTCTCTGCCCCACCCCTGCTTGCCTGCATTCTCTCTCTCTGCCAAAATAAATAAATAAACAAACATTAAAAAAATTTAAAAAACAAAATATTATTTTGGTATTGGAATACATCAAAAATAGCAACAGAAGAAATAGGAAATGAAAAAATTCTTTCTTAGTTCATGTTGTACTGAATGTATTCACGGCAAGTTGTATACAGTTTTTTTTGTTTTTAGAAGGCAGTGTAAAAATTAGAAGAGGTTCAGGGAAGAACAGTGGCCGTGAAGCACACTCTCTTTTACTTTCTTACACTTAAGATATTATAAGGATGTTATATATTCAGTCCTGTGCAGAATTTTAATTTTCTTTGAAAGATGAAAAAACCAGCCGTGAGAAATCTGCTGTTAATGTACTTACAGGAAATAGTGGGGGTGGTTTCAGGACTACATCGGGTAGTTTTTCACCTCTGCCAAATCCAACTGCCTCAATATTAAAGGTGTAAGCTGCACGTCCGCGTCCTTTGTTCCCAGCCATTAGAACTAGTTATACCAGCAAATTCTGAAAGACATCACATGAAAAAAAAGGAAATCAACATTTTAAAGCAGAATATAAAACTCTGTCCCTTAAGTAGCGTGGCTAGTGGAAAATACTTCTGGAAAGCAAAACTTGTAAAGAAATAATAAACATACGCTAAACTGATTTCTGAACTCCTCACATCTACTCAGGTCTGGCAGGTGACATGATGATGGCCTCAATTACCTCACCAGGCCCTGGGTGAACAGCTGACCCTGGGTCCCCTTTGAGATGCTGCCCAGACCACTGCACACAGCCAGTTGATGCAATTCTCTCCACCCCTCTGTGATTTGGCGTCAAGATTTCAGACATATGTAAGAAGTGTGGACAAGGAAAGGTCTGGCTGATGAAGACAGACCACCTAGCTTTTTCATTCAGCTTGAAGACTACCACGAGTCATATACACTTTAGATTTTTAAATGATAAAAAAAAAAAAAACATCTGAAATAGTTAAATTAAAGGTAAGATAAACCTGTACTCTTTTCAACTTTGGCCACAGTAGAGATGTCACATACTCAAGTTCTCTACTGAACTTGTGAATTGTCTGAAACAGGATTGATCTCTACAGTGTGAGAACTGAGCCGGCAGTATATGAACAGAGATCCCTATACCAAGGCTCTGTCACTACAAGAGTGCAGTTGACTGTCGTGGTGATTATGACACACATCTTCTAAGTCTCTTTTCCCACTGATAATACTGTGTATCAATCCTGCAAGTCCAAGAAAACAGCAATATATCCTCTCCTACTGACTTAACAGTTCCCCTTCCTTTCTTTCCTTACCGTTATTTTTTGAAAAACTGAGGTCATTTCCTATACAATGCTTCTCCAAATTTAAGGCACACGAGAATTACCTAGGAATCTTGTTAAAATGCGGATTCTGATTCAGCTGGCTGAGAACCTGCATTTCTAACAAGCTCTCTGGGATTATCCATGCTACTGGTATGCGGGCCACTGTTTGAAAGTAGCAAGGTTGTAACATTCTCCCATTTCTGAATTTGAGGAACTGAATACGTGAAATGCAGTATAACACATTCCTCTTCGCTGTATTTTCTGTTTTCTAAATAGGTGAACTAGAGGCTTACTCAAATTTGAGTTTAATTTTTTACAAGGACACTTAAAAGAGTTGCTCTGTTCCTCCTATTGTATCACATCAGGATGCAAACAAAACCAATTTCTCTTTCTTTCTCTCCCTTTCTCTCTCTCACTGATGTTCTCTGGTCAGTGGGTTCAGGTGCTAGCAGTCTGTTTCATCTAGCATACAGTTCCCCATCACTTTCCACCTAATGATGTCAGCAGCCATTGATGATCGTAGCCTAGATTCGTTATTCCATTATGGGCTGTAATTTTATTCTTTCTGTATCTACTAATTGGAATTCTACCATGAATCAATTTCCTTATTCACTATTTAGCTACAATGAAGCACAAGTTGTAGAGGAAAGGTACCTATTCTTTTTTTTTTTTTTTCAACGTTTTTATTTATTTTTGGGACAGAGAGAGACAGAGCATGAACGGGCGAGGGGCAGAGAGAGAGGGAGACACAGAATCGGAAACAGGCTCCAGGCTCTGAGCCATCAGCCCAGAGCCCAACGCGGGGCTCGAACTCACGGACCGCGAGATCGTGACCTGGCTGAAGTCGGATGCTTAACCGACTGAGCCACCCAGGTGCCCCTGAAAGGTACCTATTCTAATACCGAAGCTCATTCCATGTGTCCACCCTAAAAGAGAGGAGGATATCTAAACGGCCGTGTTTCATTGCTGAGTCACTCAAGCATATGCTGAGTCTGCAGAAAGCAGGTCTTCCAAGTATGAAAACTGCTGAGCAAAAAGACGCACTCACTCTAAGAAATGAATTGTGAGAGCCCTGTAGGCATGGTCAAGACCACTGGGCTTAATTCCAGTCTGGGATTTGCCCACCAGTAAAGATGAACAATCCCAGGCAGCATTTCCCAAACTTGCCTGATCATGAGAACTGGCCAGAGAACTTGTTAAATATACATATCGAATCTCATGCAATCTTCAAGTATTCAAACCTACACCAGAATCTTTGGAGGTGGGCTCTGAGAAACAGTTGGGAAAACTCACCCTAAGAAGAGAGTATGTCAGCTACCATTGTTTGATGGAAAATCCCTTGAGAAATACCAGACACTGGAGCCTCTAAACTTCCCTATTTATCAAGTACCTTTGGGTGTATAAACTGGTATCATTAGTGAATGGATTGCCCTTGGCAGAAAAATCAATCCTAGCTCTTGAGACACCCTCAATGATTACATGGCCTTCTGGCCTACAAATCCATCTCTTTTTAGTTTCGCTATTATAAGTCAGTTCTGTACCTACAGACGCTGCCAAATTCATTTTCTTCTCTTGGAGAGCTGAGAGGTACTTCTTGGACTCCAGTAACTGTCTCATAGGGAAAATGGCTCACAAGTGAGGCCTAAGCATCAATCTCTGGTATCCTCTGAGTCAACCACTGCCATGTTCTTCTTTCACCCTCCCAAACTGCTCGAATGAAAGGTTTTTTATAAGCAGCTTTCCCCATTTCCTTATTATCCCAATCTTCCTCTACTTCATATAGGCCAATTTCATTGAGTCATTCATTCGACCAATATTGAGTATTCCAGGCACTATGGCAGAACCCATGAATGAAACCATGTCCCTGTACTAAGGGCAAGTATTTCAGTGGCTGAAAGAACACAAACATGTAAACAAATAAATGTGTAACAGTATGTATTCTTGCTGTGGGTTGAATTGTATCTCCCTCCTACCCACCCCATACCTGTGAATGTGATGACCTTCCTTATTTGGAAATAAAATCTTTGCTGCAGATGTAACCAAATTAAGATGAGGTCATAGTGAATCAGGGTGAGCCCTCTTCCAATGATGGGTGTCTTTCTAAGAGGGAAATGTGGACAGAGGGAAACACACACAGAGGGAAAACACCATGTGAAGATGGGAGGCAGAGACTGGGATGCTGCAGTTGTAAGCCAAGAATACCAAAGAGTGCCAGGAAGCACTGCAAGCTAGGAGAGACCTGCAACAAATTCTCCCTCAGAGCCTCTGGAAAGAACGAACCCTGCCCACACCTTGATTTCACCTTGTTTTCAGACTCTGGGCCACCAGAACTGAGAGAGAATAAATATCGGCTATTTGAAGTCGCCCAATTTGCGGTAAAATGTTATAGCAGCCCTAGAAACTCATCAACACAGCTCTTGAAAAAAAATAAATGGTGGCAAGGGACAGAGAATAATAAAGGGGCATGTTAGCTTTTCACACAAGGAAGGTCTTTCTGTGGAGGATAAATCTGAGCACCATGCCGGAGAAGGCCTGTAAGCCACGAGATGAAGGGATGAGGTAGACACGGCTGCACAGAGAAGGAGGAACAAGTGCAGAGAAAGAAGCCAAATGCTGGGAGTGTATGAGGAATGAGAAGGCCATGTCCCTGGAGAGGAGTAAGGAACAAGAAGAGGCAGGTCAGGGCCGGATTTTGCGGAGCCCTGTGTAAGTTGAGGTAAAGGGTTTGGCTTTTTACCTCACTTGTGATGGGAACTGGTTTCACAAAAATGTTGAAATGCAAAGGTCCCAATGGCTCCCAAGAGCAAAATCCACTGGCATTTTGTCCTCATTCATGTCTTGGACTTCCAAAGCACATGACTTGCTATGGCCTCCTCCCTTTTGAAATTCTCTGCTTCCTAGGCTTTATTAAAACCTGGGGTTTTTTTGTTGTTATTGGCTACTTCTCTTCTTAAACCTCCTAAATATGGATTTCCTTAAGGTTCAATCTTTGGTCTTCTGCTTTTTTTTTTTTTTTGGTCTTCAGAAAACACACCCGCACGCAGGGTTTGATGACCTCTCCCATTCTATTATCTCCAACACTGACCTTTGTCTTGAGTTTCAGCCCATGTTCCCACTATCAAAAGAATATTTGGAAAGCACTTTAAACTTAAAATACTGAGGTCATCTTCCCCCTGCACCAACTGGCTTGCCTTTTAGGTATTATGTCCCTGCTTCTATCCACAGAATGTTATTTTCCCAGTCACCAACACTTGATGACTTGGAGTGCATCAATATTGATTCCTCACTCTGTTCTACCCCTCCTATCGAATCAATCACCTAATTCTTCCTTCAAAATGTCCCTTCATTTCCATTTCCTCTACCATAATCCAGTTTAACCTCTTTCTACATCACTTTTGAGTGACTGCAAGTTTTGTGGTATCCCTTGTTCTTCCTATTTGTTTTAATTTATTCTTCCACATTATTCATCCTAAGGCATAATTCTGATCATGTCGGTCTTCTCATCTTCCCTCTTGGCTACAGGATTAAATCCAAACTTCCTACCCAGGTATTCAGGGCCCTTTTAAGATGCCTGCACTCCTGACTCCTTGTATCATCATGTCTTGTTTACCATTCTCTCCACTACAATCTACCCCATTTTCCTCCCTGCTTAACAGTAGCCCCTTTCACCTGAAGATCCAGTCTAAGTCCAGTCTCCTTGATACCCTTATAGAAGAATATTAGCTGTATCCTCTTACATGTTCACCTTCCTTGACCTCTGCTTTTGTTCAGGACTTTACCATCTCTAACACAGAACAAATAAATTCCCATTGCCAGCCTCCCACTTTCAACCCACTCTCCAGTCATCTCTCTAGAACATAAACCTTGATGTGTCACTCTCCTTACCTAACAAAATCCACAGCAGTTGCTTCACCCCACTTTGCTCTTGATCCTCCAATAAAGTAAGTGTATTTTAAAAAATTGAGGTGTTACATATTGCTACTCTTCAATTTTGGAAGAAATAGAGACAATGCACCTTTTGGGAAATGGGCCTTTTCCAAAGGCAAGGAGTTTCACTTACATTTTATTTATTTCTTTGGCCGTATTAACAGAGATTTTATATCCTGTCTAGCACAGTGCTCTCTATACAGCAATAGCTCCACAATTAATGTTAAGCTCTCTTTCCTTCTCTTTCTTTTCCTTCCTCTCTTCTTTCCTTCCTTTCTTTCATATGGTGTCATGAGCAAAATCTACCCAAAGAAGTACAATTCAGTCAGCCTACTATTAACATTGTTGTTTTCTTTTAAACTTCCAGAACTATAAAGTTGGAGACCTGGAAGTACACTAGAAGCATCAGAATGTAAAAACAAAACTCAGGCTTCATACCAGAACAACAAAATGAGAATCTTTGGAGACGGGATTCAGGCATTAGGACTTTTCAAAGCATTCTCAGAGTTTACAGCATATAGTGTAAATTAAGATCCACTGCTTTCTGGGCTGCCTGGGTGGCTCAGTATGTTAAGCAACTGACTTCAGATCAGGCATGGTCTTGTGGTTCAAGTCATGTGTCAGGTTCTTCGCTAACAGCTCAGAACCTGGAGCCTGCTTCTGATTCTGAGACTCCTTCTCTTTTTGCCCCTCACGCTCACGCTCTCTCTGTCTCTCAAAAGTAAATATGGTTAAAAAATTTTTTCAAAGAACCACGGCTTCCTATTAAACTTCACATTTTGTAAAAGAGGAAAGTGAAGCCCTGAGAGGTTAGTTGACTGCCTAAAGGCACACAGTTAATTTCTAACAAAGACAAAACTGGGTTAAAGCCTCAGGTACCTTTCCATTCTCCATTCATCCACATTACACTACCTGAAACACATTCCCAGGCTAGTTGAACACTTTTTTAATCCCACAGATACTTTTATTAATCTTTACAAGGAAGTGAATTAGCAATGGCAAAATTCACTGACTTTCAAAGTATAAATCAGAAGCATCATCCTTCCATTTTGTAATGCTTCCTGAAAATTCCTGTCCAGAACTGTTCTGAGCTGGTTTGATGGGTGTTGTTCAAGCATCCAAGAGCTGAAATGCAAAGTCCATTCTATTTGACTGTAGAGACAACACTACGTTACAGGCTGAGGTAATATCTGAAGTTCCTCCTAGTGCTAACATTTTATGAGTTGTGATTGTGGCCTAAATGTATTGTCTTCCACATCTCACACTGTCCCTTGTACATAGTGGCTACGTGAATGAATGTACAATCTGATGTAAGTAGGCATGGAAGCTGGGGGAGGCACCAAAAGACAGGTCACAGCATCTTTCCTGATAAATGACACCTCAATTGTCCCAGTCAGAACCTGATAGTCATGCTGTCCTCCTCTCCACCTTCCTTGATACCCTTATAGAAGAATATTAGCTGTATCCTCTTACATATTCACCTTCCTTGACCTCTGCTTTTGTTCAGGACTTTACCATCTCTAACACAGAACAAATAAATTCCCATTGCCAGCTTCCCACTTTCAACCCACTCTCCAGTCATCTCTCTAGAACATAAACCTTGATGTGTCACTCTCCTTACCTAACAAAGCTTTGAGTCTAACTCTCTGTCTCTTGCCCCCTACACACCACACTCTAGCCACTCTCTACTCTGCTACATCAGCTCTTGCATGTAGCGTTCCTTCTGCCTGGAATGCCTTCCTCCCGCATCCAACCACGCAACCCCTGGCACCATTTAAGATGCTGTGCAAATGACACCTCTCTGTGACCATTTTCTCTACCCAACAAGGAGACAGATCTCTCCCTTGTCTGTTTCCCAAGTACTACAGTGCTTTTATTACCCTTTTAAAGATCATGTTGTGATTGCCAGTTCTTGTCTGTCTCTCCAGTAAGCCCTTCAATTAACTATTCATCAAGTATTTATTAAGCACCCTCTGTGTCAGACCATCTTCTGCACACTGGGAATATAGCAGTGAACAAAACAAAGTTTCTGCTCTTGTGGAGCTCATAGTCTAGCACAGGAAATGGAAAGAACCATGTCGAGAACTAAGAAAATATGGACATCCAGGGGAGTGTGATACAAGCAGATGTATCTGTAAATATGAAGGCCTCCTTGAAGACTTACATTTGCATGCTCTATCACTTACCAGAGCCTGGCAAAAGTCCAACAAATACTGGGTGAATTATTGCTGAGCTCATGGCCTAGTAAGGATATCCCTCCATTTCTCCTACAGTGGTTTCCCTCTGCCTATGGGAAAAATGTCTAAACTACAAAAAGCTCTGTACTTCCCAGCTGAGAGCATCCTAACAAACAGTGGTCTTTTAAGCCCTGCTCAAATGCTACTCTTCAATAATCCTTTTCATCTGTATCCTTATAGCACCTAGTTTTTACTTCCTCTGTGGTATATACACCATACTATTTTATATTGCAAATAGTTGTGCATAAATATCATCTTCCCTCAAATTCTTGAGAACCCATATCATGACTTCTTTTTCTTTTCTTTTTTTTCCCCACTCAATACTATTCTCACAGATCATCTAGCTCAGGGACTTGCATGTAAGGATAGCCCCAAACAGTGGCTGAAGATTAGGAAAATATTCAGAAAAGCTACATCTCCACCAAAGGTTTTTAGGAGTGTAGGAGAGGACAGTACATCTCTCCTATGAAGGTTTATTAGTAGCTGCCACAATAAGGGTTTTCATAATTATTTTTTACAAAGCTAGCTCATGGGTATCTTTATAATTAATCAAATTCTCAAGGCAATTTTTGAAGCCTAACTTGATGTTTCAATAGCTGGGAGGTGCTAGGTGGATACAGGGATCTGGTGTTCATAGTGGGGGTGATTTATATGGCTGGCTGGGCCACACCCAGATATTATCCACGTTTTCTGTTCTCACAAGGTGCGACTGCCTCCACCTTTACTTAGTTGAGCCTTTTCTACCAACTTTCTTTGCTCTCTTTCAAGAGCTGACAAACTAACAAAAAAAAAAAAAATGGAGGGTAGGGGAAGGAATACAGAATTTCATTTTTTATAAGAGCATTAAGACGTTATTAACAACCCTTCTCCCCACGATACAGGTTAGAGTGCCAAGAGTTAAGAAAACATACTGAATAGTCTGTCCTTAGCAGCAAGTCTGCGGCAATGACTCGTGCCTAAACCAATCACAAAGTCCCCAGATTTGAAAATCTACCATCAGTTACAGCATAAATCCTCTTCTAACTCACTGCAAACAGTCCAGGAAGTGGAGCCACGTTAAGATCGGGAAAGAGCGGTTTTCAAAGATTCTGAAGGGATTAGAAGGAAAGGTAAAGCTATCTCCCAACTACCCTCAATCCTGAAGCGCTTTATTGAATCTCCACCTCTGACTTCCCCCACCTTCTCCATGTGCCCCTTTAACTTCTCTCTACCCTCTCCATCGCCTCCCAACCCCTCAATTGCTCCCTCTGTTACCTGCTCACTGTCTCGAGGCTTGGGTAAAACTGTGCACCCAAAGTGCCGGCCGGCAAGGAAGGGGTGCACACAGAAGGCGCGAGCGCTGGGATACCGGTTCCACCTCTAGAGAAGCGCGCTCCGCCCTCCACGCGGGCTCAGAGCCTTGTTCCGATCCCAAACAGTTAGCCCCGCCCACTCTCTCTATAGGCCCCGCCCCCCGGGCAAGGAGCTTTTTAGCCCTTGGCAGGCGCCGTACTTCTCCATCCGGTTTGGCCTGACTCTTTCGGCGCTGGCTGAAGTGCGCTTGCCGGAGCGCAGTGGGTGGGAGGACCTGGCACCTCCCCTGGCCTCTGCAGTCAGACCCCCGGGGTGAAGAGCGATTCCTTCTGAGTCTCCAGTCTGCTGCAGTGCCCCTGCGTTAACGCTCCTTTGTGTTGCAGCTACTGAAGCCGAGATTACTCCAGCGCCTAGGTGCGGGCAGAGCAGTCGCCACTCTCTGCAGACCTGGCTGGAGGGTGCGTGCAGACTCTCCAGGCCGCGACTCGGCGCCTCCTTCCTCCTAGTTCTCCCCCACCCCATCCCCCAAACCCGCACCTCCCGAATCCCCCGCCCTCTCCGCGCTCTGCCCCTCCTCCCTTGCTGCGGGCTGACCGCTCCACACCGCCGCAGCGCCTCGCGTCTGGACGGCTTGCAGGAGGCACACACCCTTACACCCACTCGGCCAGACCGCACCCCTGCCCAGCATGTCCGCGCTGGAGTGGTACGCCCACAAGTCCCTGGGCGACGGCATCTTTTGGATTCAGGAACGCTTCTATGAGTCGGGCAACCGCGCCAACATCTGGCTGGTGCGTGGTTCCGAGCAGGATGTGGTGATCGATACGGGCCTGGGGCTGCGCAGCCTCCCGGAGTACCTGTACTCCTCCGGCCTCTTGCAGGATCACGGGGCCAAAGAGGACGCGGCGTGCCGGCCACTGCTGGCCGTGGCCACACACGTGCACTTCGACCACTCCGGCGGCCTCTACCAGTTCGACCGGGTGGCCGTGCATCACGCCGAGGCCGAGGCGCTGGCTCGCGGGGACAACTTTGAGACCGTGACCTGGCTGTCCGACAGTGAGGTGGTGCGGGCGCCCAGCCCGGGCTGGAGGGCCAGGCAGTTCCGAGTGCAGGCGGTGCAGCCCACTCTCATCCTGCAGGATGGTAATGGGCCCTCATGGGCACGCGCTCTCTTTAAGGGAAGGGATTGGGAAAAACTGTTCGAGGGATGCATGTTGCAGACGTGCGTGGCTGTAAACTGGCTTGTTTTGTCACATCGCAGAAACACCACTACTGTTTCTCCCTTCCCTGAGTAAACGCCTACTCGATCTGAGCCAAGGCCCTCGAAACCTTCCTTACCACAGACCAGTTCTGGCACTGTGTGGCAAAGCCAAGTACTCAAATGAAAGCCGGCCCCACACCCTAGTCAGATTCCTGTGTAAGGTATAGTAGTAACACTACAGAGGCTTGTGACTAGGGATTTTACATTCTTTTCCCGAACACTTGCCAGATTTCCAGGCGCTTTTATAGCGAAAAGACTTTTAAGGAATGAGTCCTCACCGAGTGCATGACAGGCTCTATGCTTTTGAGAACAGCTGACTTCATCCGCTCTCTGTCGGCGTCACTACTGGATATGAACAATTCCCACCTGTAGGTTTAGAAAGCCATTAGGGAGCAGTGGTTCTTATCTACTTGTGCATCCTTATCTTCCAGATAGATTTCTGTTCTTGATGTTGCCTCATTAGAGAAAAAGCTTGATAGTGAACATAAAAAGTAGAGAATGTGAGTCTTAACATTATGACAGATACGTGGTCTGGTTTAAAGCAAGGCCTGAGAAAGATTAATGAGGTTATTTCCGGTGATGGTGAAGTATACCGACTAATGCATGGGTAGCCTTGGGCCTCTGGCTCTGTAAAAGAAAGGATGGGGATCAGAGAGAAACTAATGGAATAAAATACAATAGAGTAGGGTCCCAGCCCTCTCAATGCCAAGCAGGCACTTAAATAATTGAGTTAATTAGCCACAATAGCAATATTTGTATATTAAATTTCCTTTTTTCTTTTTAGAATATTTTTGTTGATTTCATTTTATCTTCACAACACATTTGAAGTGAGGTGGCTGACCCCTAATTAAATGGCTTGCCTAGAGTCCACGGAGCAAGATAGTGACAAAAGCTAGGATTTGAACCAAGGCACAATAGATCAACGCATGCAGATCATAAATTCTATCCCATAAATATATCGTAATTATAAGTAGGATATGAAACCCCCTTCTCTCATTTTTATCTTGAAACCATTTTATTTTTTTAAATAATTTTTTTTCAACGTTTATTTATTTTTGGGACAGAGAGAGACAGAGCATGAACGGGGGAGGGGCAGAGAGAGAGGGAGACACAGAATCGGAAACAGGCTCCAGGCTCTGAGCCATCAGCCCAGAGCCTGACGCGGGGCTCGAACTCACGGACCGCGAGATCGTGACCTGGCTGAAGTCGGACGCTTAACAGACTGCGCCACCCAGGCGCCCCTTGAAATCATTTTAATTGCCAATTTAATTTATTAAAACATTCCTCTAGGAGATAGAAAAATCCTGTTGCTGCAGTACAATAAGCTTACTTTATGAAGGACCAATATGACAAATAATGAAATATTTTACAAAAATCAGTTTATCTTATAGATGAGATCTTGAACACTTGAAATATAAAAAATAAAAAGCAAGATTCTGTACCTCACACTCCACCCACAAAGCCTCTTCATTAAAATTTCAAATCTAAAGATTAAAAAAATAAAGAGACTGATTTAGATAGGAGTCTTATATCATCTGACAATTTAAGATGAAAGAAACATACATTTACAGTATTCTTTGTATTTCTTGATAAAAGTGATACTTCTTAGAGTTAGGATTTCCATGTAGTTGATGGGTATTAAGATTAAATTAATTGTGGCACTGAGACCAAAAAATGTTTAAATTAGTATTTAAAATACATTACAGTTGTCTGAATGAATAAATTACTTCTGATTTATTAACTTTTCCTTCTGTGCCAACAATAGGAAATCAATGGTGAAAGAACGATAAGAATTACTGTTTTATAGATGAAGAGTTCAAGCAGGCCTGAATTATCATGCCTGAGATCACATAGCCAGTTTGGAAAAGAGCTGAGACTAGAATCCAGGTTTCCTAAATCCCAGTTTATGATAGAATTATAGCATTTTGGAAATACAGGGGGCCTGCAAGCTATCTGTGTGCTGCTTTAAGCCTTTGAAGGTGTGAAAAAAAAAGCTTGATATTTACCAAACACTTAAAGCTGAGAATATTGTGTTATATCAAAAGTTGTTTTTCATTAGAAGCAGAATGCCTCATCCTCTCAAGTAGTATCTAATTTTCTCTTTTCTCAGGAATATTAATTTCCTTTCTCTTCTGAATAATGTGGCCAGCTGACTTGCTGTTATCATAATCCAGATGGCTGGAAGGAGATATAAAATATTTATATGAAAAATTCATACATGGTTACACATATACATGACGAGCCCATATCTGAACAGCATACAGCTGTTGCTTTGGTTAGAACATAAGGAGCCTGAAGTCATTAGTTTATTACATTTCATTTAGTGAATTGATGATCACCTGTCATGAGGAAGCATAAATCTGTGCTGTATGACTAACCCAAAAACTAACTTGCAAAGGAGGGACAGGGAGAGATCATCATACGGTGTATCATCTTTGATGGAAAAATAACTCCCCCTACGAATAGTGAAATAGTATCCTCCTATAAGAAGATAGATAAACCCTAGGTTAATATAGTGCCTTCTATAGTACTATTCTTAATATAGTACCATACGTCTTTTTATCTATTTTCCACAATAGTCAAATGATATGAAGTGGAGACATTTTGGCCCCTTATGTATAATTAATTTGCCCAGAGTCACCAAGATAATGACACAGTTATGACAGGCAGACTTAAGTCACTTGGGGAGGTTAAAAACAAAAAATAGACCCTAGAAAGGTAGCAGATTGAAAACTACTCCATCCGAAACCTAAGCCTGTAATAAAAGGACCTTGGTTTGTCTGTTTTAAGTATAAATCCATATTGAACTATTTTGAATGTTGATGTAAATGTAATGACTGAGTCAGCAGTTTTATCTTCTGCCAGCAATGGGGAATCAAGAGCCAATCCAGTCTGCACTGTAGGAGCTTTAAAAGGCTCGGGAATTAGCAGTAGATGGTATCTTAGTGGGGGCAAAGGAAAGATAAATAGTAAAATAAGTAGAATTGGTTGAAAGCCATTAAGAAGCTGTGAAAACTCTGGAATGTCCATGCACTTAGTTTGTTCTCTGGGGAGAATAAAGCAGAGGAGTGTTGATTAAGGGATGCCAAGTGCTACTGAGCTCAGCATTCAGTATGGAAAATAGGAGGAGTGTGTGTGTGTGTGTGTGTGTGTGTGTGTGTGTGTGTGCGCGCGCGCACGCATGCTCGTGCATACAGGTGTATATGGAAGAGAGAGAGAATGTATGTGTGTATGTGTATGTATGTTCCTTGTTAGTTTCAAGAAGGATGAGAGCCAGGTCTATACCCCGCCAAGTAGCAAACTGGAAGAATCTTACCTGGGAAATGTGACCAGCCCTAGAGGAAAAACTAAGATGCTGATCCCTAAGCAATCTTTGGCTTCGTCTGGCTACAGCACAGCCTTGATCATTAAGCCCAATGCATGTGCTTCAAGCAGCCTTTTCACCCCCCCCATTCTCAAATAGGCAACCAAGCATTATGAAAAATCCTAGAAAATGGTCTAACACGAGATCAAATACTAAAACAAATAGCATAAAGCAACTTGAGAGGGGAAGACAATCATTAATAGCATCAGGGGATAACAGAAGCTATTGCATTCAAGGTATTCAAGAGACATTAGGATGCTTTAAAAATAAGCAACAGAACAGTATGCACATGCACACACACACACACACACACACACACACACATACATGAGTTCTTGAAATTTAAAATGGTAGAAGTTTCTTGGTAGAAGAACTGAAGATAAAGTTGAAAAACTTTTTAAAAAAAGGAGAAGAAAGGTAAAATGAAAACGAGAAGAGAACCAGTAGAGGACCCGTTTGGAAAATTCAACACTGGAATAATAGAAGCACAGATAGAGTAGAGAAAATGGAAGAAAAG